CTTTAACGGAGACTTTGTATGGAGATCGATGCGCACGGCGCGCGTCGTCCCCAGTAACGATGCGGTGCTTCGCAACGGCGGTGTGGCGCACCTTCGACGACGTCGCAAAGCAGTCGCGGTATTCGACGAGGAGGTTAATCAGCTGACATCGTTTCGGGCCCGGAAGCTTAGCGTTGATGTCGAGCTGCGCTGACGACGTACTGTCTTGCTGAGGTGGTGAGGATTCTTCAGTAATGGCGGCGAGTTTGGCGGAGTTTCGGAGTTCCTCGACGTGGCCAACGGCTGCACCTTTCGTCAGGTGTTGCGCTTCGTTTCGGAAGTTCCTCATGAGGACCACAGTGCGGCCATCCTGAAGTTCAGCTACGCCTCTTACGACGCCTATTCCTCTTTCTAGAAGCAACTGGAGGCTCCACTCTAGCAAAACTTTGCCGTAGAAAGCTTCGGTGATCCCGACAGGCACGAAAAGACTCGACCGCGGCGGTAAGTTCACGTGACTTGCCAGGACTCGGACCGCGGATGACGTCGCTTTGGGTTCCTCCGGTGGGGAAACAGGCTTTCGTAGAGTTAGCCGGTTTGCTCCGAGGTCTATGACGGCGCCATACTCGCAGAGGAAGTCCATTCCGAGGATAACGTCCCTCGAACAGTCTTGCAGATCGACGAACTTCACAGGGCACGTCTCACCACGGATCCGGAGGCGAGCAGTGCATCTCCCGACTGGTGTAATGAGGTGTCCTCTGGCGGTTCCTATTTGTGATCCATTCCACGGCGTCATGACTTTTCGAAGGCGGCGTGAGAGCCTCCCACTCAAGACTGAGTAGTCTGCTCCGGTGTCCACGAGTGCCGACCCGTCGAGGTCGTCGATAACAACGTTTAGGTTGTTGACACAGATGCAGGAGCGTCGTTGTGATGAGTAGCGTCGGGAGAGTGGGAGCGCTCCGGTCGTTCTTGGAGGCTCTTTACGTCGGTCGTCTTCGGCAACTTCACCTCCAGGGGTTGATGCGCCTAGTTTCCCCGGCGAGGAGCGAGATGCGACAGGCTTTCACGTCGGGGTCGGTGCATCGGCGAAGCTGGACGTCGCGGCGAAGGCGACCGGAACTCTCGGCGGGACGCAGGCTCGGGGGACTGGGGTCGTCGCAGGTACTCGTCGATCTCCCGAGGGCGTTCACCATACCGGGGGCGCGGGTCGCTTGGGTGGAATCCACGCAGCCCGAGTCGTCGGTATGGGCATCGGCGGTACACATGGTCGGCTTCCCCGCAGTGGTTTCAGAGCGGGCGTCGGCCGGCCGTTCGCCACACGTCGGTCTTCCTCGGCGAGGGTTCATCCAGGCGGACGTCCTGGACTTGTCCTTCCCGGCGTCGAGGATACTGTGGCATTGGAGGGTCTCGTCAAGGGGGGGGGGGGGGAGGGGGGGGGGGCGCCGTGGCCTGGTGGTTAGCTTGCGGCGGTCGTCGAGCCATAGCGGCGTAACTCAAAGTCGGCTCCTCTGACGTCGTCGTGTTGATCGGAACTTCTGGGTGGACCGCCCGTTGTACTTCCTCGCGCGCAGCCTTGGCGACGGAGAGTGTCGCTGGACGACTTGCGGCTGGCAGCAACTGACGGAGTTCCTCCCGGACGACCTCCCGGATAATTTCGCGAATGTCCGTACCTGAAGCGTTTTTGCCGCTAAACAGCGCGGTTGCAGCGACACTTGGATGTCGCTGGTAGTGGGAAGCGCGCGCTTGGAGGGCGCGCTCGATGTTTGTCGCCTCGGTGACGAAGGCCTCGACGGTGCCCGGCGGGTTGCGCACGAGGCCTCAAAAAATGTCGTCTCTCACCCCGCGCATGAGGACCCACAGCTTATTTTCTTCTGTGGCTCGTGGGTCGGCACGGGCGCTAAGGCGGAGGACATCTTCTACGAAGCTTGTGAAGCTTTCGTCGGGGCCCTGCGTTCGAATCTGGAGGACACCTTCTGCCCACTCCCGTCGGTGTAGGGTGGCGAACGTCCGCTGAAACTCGGCCACACAGATGTCTCACGACGTAAGCGAAGCCTCGTGATTCTCGAACCAATGCCTTGCAGTACCCTCCAGCGAAAATTGCAGGTTCTGGAGGCGCTGGTCATCCGTCCATCCATTGTGGCGAGCTACACGTTCGTAACGCTGCAGCCAGTCTTTGACATCCTCGTAGGCTTCGCCGTGAAAGGGCGTCGGAGTGCGGGGAGTGAAGGGCAGGATGACGACGGGTGCGGTGGTCATGGTCGGTATTTTCTTGCGCCGGTTCTCAGGCAAGAGACCTGACTCGGGGGACTGACCTCTGGGCCGACGGCTTCTTCGGGCTTCAGCGTCTTTGGCGAACGGTAGCCTTCCGGGGCTGAGCACCTCACTCGGGCGGGGTGTCTTCGTAGGAGTACGCTTTACGGGCATAGGATGGTACCCAGCACCTGCACCAAAATGTCACGAATGACAAGTGATGAGGCGACGAAAACTGAAGTAAACTAAACTTTTAATGGGGCGAACTTGTGCCCAAATTAATAAAAAAAGGAAACAAAAGAAAGCAAGAGAGCGTCACAGGCGTCGATGTCGGCGAAACTGCAGGATCGGGCGCTGGAGCGAGACTGACTGCGGCTGGCCACGCGGAACCCGTTATGCACATGCGTGGGCTTCTGGAATAATCGGCGTAGAAAGTTCCCGCGTAGAACATTAGGACCTCGAACAAGCAACAGGATTGGCGAATTTTCCGGGACACTAAATTGCAGGAATAAAGAAAATACACGTCGCTCCCAGGAATTAAACCCTGGCTACTTGGCCACCTGCGCGCGGTAATATTGACGCGTGCGCAGCTGGCAAAGTAGCCAGGGTTTGATTCCTGGGAGCGACGTGTATTTTCTTTATTCCTGCAATTTAGTGTCCCGGAAAATTCGCCAATCCTGTTGCTTGTTCGAGGTCCTAATGTTCTACGCGGGAACTTTCTACGCCGATTATTCCAGAAGCCCACGCGTGTTCATAAGGGGTTTTGCGTGGTGAGCCATGGTCAGTTTCGCCTCAGCGTTCGATCCTGCTGCTTCTCCGCCTTCGACGCCCGCGACGCTCTGTTGTTATCTTTCTTTCTCCTTTTATTTTTGGGCACAAGTTCGCCCCATTAAACGTTTAGTTTCTTCAGTTATTATCGCCTCATCACTTGTCATTCGTGACAATATTTTATATATTAATACGTTTAACAACTTAATTTTGGAAGGCTCCATAATTGTAGAACTTTGCTGAGTGTGGGGTTCCCCAATCTTTCAGGGGCCCAACATTTCTAGATTGGGAGAGACGTCAAACGTTTTGGTGCTATTTTTACAGTCTTGCAATTCCTAATAAAATGGTGCTCGCTAAAATAAAGTCCCTTACAGTACCGCATTTTTCTTAATTTTTTTTAATAAAACAATCTGATAAATTAATGGGTTAGCAAAAAAAAAACGAAAATATAAGGAGAACTATAGATTCTTACACTTTTTTAGTAAGATAACATACTAAATTTATGGGTGTGCGGAAATAAATATAAGGAGAATTGTAGTTTATTTCGCTTTAGGTCCATCACGGTTGCATCGTGGCATTTAACTTCAAAACGCACAATATTCATTTGCCCTCATTACGGCTGGGTTCTATCGCTATGTTAAGGCCGGTTTTGCAAGTTTGTATGAATGGATACTAAGCAAAACAAAAGTATGAAGTCAACTATTCTTCAAAAAAATATTGAATGCAGAGGCTCACGCAGCTTTCATTTCTTAGGGGAATATAGGCGCACACGCCGTAAACATTACATACTTTCCTTTTTTTTCTTGAAGAAATTTGGTGACAACTCTGATTCTTTAGATGTGTGAAATTCTTCATTTATAACGATCAATGTCCAATTGAGTAGGTGGTCTGTCAAAATGCCGCTGAGTAATATATTCCGGATATCCTCTCACTATTATTGTTTGATTCACATAAGTGAGCGCAATACAAAGATGATTACTACAATTTTGGTTAAGTCAATTTACTTAAGACATAATTCATTCAGGGCAAATATTTGATAAACTCGCATTCACATAGCTCTATTGCAGCAGTGAACTCACCTCACAGAAAATATGTAACGAAGTCGAATTTATTCCTACTGCATTGATACAATTTCCGCAAGATTTTCTACGCTTTTTGGAGAGTGACTGTCCTATCCTCACACATTGAGACATCCGAGATAACTCTTGTTAGGCCCATTTTTAGGTCTTACACATATTTGGTCGCATTGGCTAGCCGCAAACGTTTTGGTTAGTCAGTGATGGTTGACATAAAAACGAAAAAAAAAGTGTGTTCAGGTTTCGTTAAGCAAGTTATCGGAGCTCATTACCTCTATATATTTCCGGTTTATTTTGCCGGAGCCGACAAAGACTTTAAGGTAGCCGACTCCGGTTGATACACTTGATTGAATAAGACGAAAGATAAAACCAAGTGTTACATACGCTCAATAATAAACTGAATTATATCCCCTAAAACACAGCCAATTCAGTATAGGTTAAGTTAATTTTATTTTTTTATTCACAAATCTTTTCCCTAATATTATTCTTTTGAATTAATTTGAAAAGTTCCGAAGGCCGTTACCGCCAACTTCTCTATAATAGCGCAAGTGTAGCAGCAGAAAAAATACACAATGTTTTGTTTTTATATTCCCAACGTGGTCGTTAATATTATGATAAAGGAGGCTTTTTTCACTTTTGGATATTTTATTCGTCGCATATTTTGTCTAACATTGTATTGCCCCAACTTCCATGCTCAAAAATGCTTTCATCCTACAAAGCTAAAGAAGGTGAATGCACTTTGCACGTGGAGGTTCACGCCAAGAGTGCACCCAAACCCCGCAGATGTTTTTGCTTACCGTTTACAATGCAATTCTGACGCAATACTGAGGCGGTCTTGAAGACCCCCTGCATCCCGCCTCTCTTTCCCGCAGGTATAAAAGGAGCACACATCGTCGTATATTCATTCCAATTACTGTCAAAGGTACTACGATGGCGTTTAACGTTATTACCTTTCTTCAAATGACCGTCTTTCTTGTCATTTTATTTATTATAAAGTGAGTCCCTTTTTATCCAATTTGGCCTTCGCTTCTCGCTCAAATATTACAATAACGGCGATGTCATACCAGTTGCCAACGGTAAAGCTTAATCCCTTCATACACCTTGTTGAACCAACGAGATTGCGCTATTCGTAGTTGTCGAAAAATACACTGACATTTTTAAAGTTTGTTGTATTTAAGATTTTGATTCAATTTTGATATGAATGTCACACTGTTGATTTTTTTAGTTAATATCGACTCTGGGTTGTGCTATAGGTGGGGTTTATTTGTTAATTTTTGTTACCTCCGCAATAAAGTAGAGCGCGATAAATAAAAATAATGAATTAATACCTTTTTTATTTTAAAGTCAACCGGGTATCGAATTTTCCTCAAGAGTACATTTCTATTTGCGCTTCCTCGGGTTTGGTCGCAGCATGCTCCGCCAATATCTTTTCCTAAGCGAATTTGTGATAGAGCAATTATCCTCATTCTGTGAAGCCTTTCGAAGCTTTTTGCAGGATCTAAGTTTTCTATATTTTGGGGCATTGGCAGTTTTCCTGCAAATTACATACAGCAGACAATTTTGATTTTCAACCTTTGCGAAATTTTATTGATGAAAAAATATTGAATGCTACAAAACTGTGTTTAAAGGTTTAAAGAGCCCTGTAGTGAATTTGCCGTCCACAAATATTGTCAGACAATGTACGGGCATTATAAATAAAATGATCATTGTTTATCTCTTAAACCCTCAGGGATCAACACATGTTTATCGTGAATAGCTATATTTATAGATTTTCCTAGTGATACGAAACTACCAACAAATCGCAGTCTGCTTCATTAGATTTTTTTATAAACAAATATCCCATGGTATTGAATCAGTCTAGTTACATTGGTGAAGTCAGCAAAATAAACACATAAATATTAATAGAAGTGAAATATATGAATAGAACAGTTTTATCTGGAATAATACATAAATAGCCTGTTTAACAATAGCTTATGCTTACTTTAAAATATAATCGAAAATATGACGTTGAATACTTCAAGATGAAGATATTTAACCCAGTGTTGAGACTGATTCTTTTAGAACATTAAAAATGGCGTAGTATACAACATATAAAATGAGAAATATTCAGCAAGGTGTTCGTAGCTCTTAATGTAATCGAGAGTGTATAGTAAGGAATCGTATCTAATTCATTTTTTTAAAAGAATAGATTCTGAAAACAAACTTGCGTTCCAGCGTTGGGAATATAGAAATGTTGTATCGTAATTATGACAATCATTGACATCAATTAATACATTCATAAGAGCGATAATTATGATCGAACGTATATAATAATGTGTTTGAGTATAATTGAAAAAAGAAAGAATACAAATGCGTCGTAAGTCACACGGGCGCCATACGCGCCACGCATATATCGGACTCGGGTGAAGCAACATCATGATAATTTAGCTGTCACTAAAAAATGAATATCTTTAATAATTCTTCTTTCAACTGGCCTAAGGTGCTCATCGGTTACCTTTCGCACTTTCATGCCTAATTCTGAACGTTTACGTATAAAGGGGGCGGAAAATTCCGTTCTTAACAATGCATAAATGTGACGTAGACGTGTTGGAGTCGTCGTTATTCCTCAGTACCTTGGATACATCCCTAAGCGAAGGCTCAAATCAACAACGTTCCGCCGATATAATCAGAAAGCCACTGAAAATCGTACGTCCTTCTTGCACGGGTGATTTTAGATAGGATTTCGGTTCTTTTTCTAGATACATATTTTGAATTTGCGAAACCAAATTGTAAAAATAAACCAATGAATTACTCAAAGACAGTCGGTATTTTCACAGTAGAATAACTTGATTTAACCTCTACTTCTGAATGCATCCCATAAAGAAATGATAGCATAACCACTAAAACCAAGAGGTTAATTTGTGAATACAGTTAGTTCCCCAACTTACCATGAAAGTTATTGAATCGTGTAACTCCGTCGACCTTTGCAGCTGCAGAGGTAAGTATGTATCCGTAAAACTCGCTTTTTTAGAAATCAAGTTCAAAGTCACATCAAACAGTGCATACACTACACAAGCTGTTTTTTTTTTATTTTGTATTTGTTTAATATTACTAGTGAGAGATGCAATAACGCGGCTCCTGCAGGTGCGTTCTTTGCTAAAGGAAAAAAAAAAGTAAAACAATTGTCACGATCAGTCGTTGAAAGAACTAGGAATTTGGTAATACTTTCCGGATTAGTGAATGTAAACTTGTAGTTTTATATAAATAGACTACCGGGCGCCTATAATCCCTTTTTTTGCTCCTCCAGCCTTCAGCCTGCAACTCGTTTGGTAACTTTAACCTGCAATCGCACCTGGCACGCGCTTCAGATCTTAATGAAACTTGCTGAATTAGGCCGCGTTCATACACGCGGAAAATACTGTTGCCGCCGACCGAATTTAATGGGCGGAAAAACAAGGCGCCGTTCACGTTTGTTTGACCCGTCGCGTTCGCGTGGCTGCGGCTTTTCGTGGATATTAGGGAAGACTGCCCTTGGCTTGAGTGATGTTAACTTCCTCTCGAATTTAACCCTAGCCCGCAGTGCCGAGATGCTGCCCAGCATTCTCCGGGCGACACGAGAATGAAATACAAAAGAAATGAGCAAGCTAAGACAACTTGCGTTTGTACCATACAATTGCTCATTTTATTGAACAAATATTTCTGCAAGAATCAAAGAAAAAATAAAAACACTTAGGAAAAAGGACAGACGGTACAGTTCTTTCAAATGAAAGAACTGTGCTGTCTCTCCTTGTCCCCAAGTGCTTTTATTCTTTCTCTAATTCTTGTATTTTCACCAACCCGGTCTTTGTTCTTAGATCCGTCTGGACACTGACATCGTTGCTCAGGTGACGCATGTCGAAGAGGGATGAATAATTTAGTCTCGGCTAGCTTTTCTGCCGACACGACGATACCAGCGAGACGGCGACTTTTGTACAACTTGGGAACTCCGACAACTCCGGCGGCAACCCCAACGACTTAGGCGACTCTGCCAGCATGTGACGCCTGCAAACGCCATTTCCTCCGTGCTTTCCGATTGACTGCGGTGACGTGGAAACATTCTCTGCGGGGGAAAAATCGGACACCGACCGATTGCTACCGTGGTCGAATAGTCCGTCGCCGGCGAGGCGAGTCACTTTCTCGACATTAATTTCCTCCTGGATTCACCTGTGATTCCGCGAGTGTGAGCGAACGATTAGTGGGGTTCGATGACGCTAAGGAATTCCTTGCTATTTAAAAGCTTTAGTTTAATGAAAAAGAAGAGTAAAAGTTCCACATAAAACATTAGTTTATTTTTAAATAATTAATTTAAAACTGTTTTTTAGCAAATGTGCGACTTATCGTGACGATTAATCTCTTATATTAGGTGCACCTAGCCGTATTACCCACCTGACTGCATTAGTGCTGCTCTATCTGCTATAAAACAAATCACCAAGCCAAAAAAAAAATACGAGTACCAGTACTTAAAAACCTTGAATTGCTTAAACGAAGTATTATTATCTCATGCAATGATAAATGTTATAGTGTTTTTCACGTTCTAAGAGACGTGATTATTACTCCCTGTGATTTTCCAAACACTTCACCTTTTGTTTTAAATTTTACTAAAGCATCTCGACTCAGATTATTGTACGATTAAAAAGTGTTATATCTTTCCAGTCTCCATTCAACGTCTGCTGGATCGGAAGAATCAAGTGACCCTTATAGTTTTTTGAATTCCATTGAGGTCGAAGTTTGCGATACAAACGTAAGATCACTTTTAGATAATTGTAAACAAATACTTTTCTTCGTGGAGTTGTTTGAAGATAGCTTTATAACTGATGAAATACGTAACTGAACATTGTGCTCTTACAATACATAAATTTCAGCTAAAATCAAGATTTTCTAAATTTTATACTTTTAGTATGTTTTATGGCAGCAATATACGACATTCCGATTACTTTACATCACCGGCACTATCGTGTTTATGTTTAGATTATAAGCTTGGAACAAGGTGTTGCATAATAAGATGGAAATACTTAAATAGCTGTTAGAGGGCACCTTTTAATTTACAACATTGTGAACACCTTTGTGTCCCTGCTACGGACTACCAAAACTTTCTGGAACATCGTGGCAGAAATTTTTAAATGGCGTAACATTACCCAAATATTTTTGCTGAAGGAATACTACTTTAATGAGTTAGTATTGAAGTATTATTATCGAAACTAAAACCTACACTAATATTTCACTCATGGAAAATACATCGACTTGTAAATCTAATGGTTCCATATTAAATGAACAACCGGATAGTAAGTGTCATGTTATTAAAATTGTTATCGGCAAATATTTTAGGAATCATTCCTTAGATAAAAGTACTGTCTGTTTTAGGGTAAACCAAGCCAGCGCAAGAAACAAAAATGCAAGTTGGAGTTGCCTGTGACTGTTGTGTTCCTTTTAATAAAACCATAGGCACTGCACGGAATGCTTGGGATAAAGCAGCAAAGGGAGGTTTAATCATTGCCATATAATGAAGGCGTGTTCGTTGAGATGTTCAGAACTCGCTTTGTTCTTTCCGCGATAAATATATTAATCTTTAAATTTTTGTTCTGCATTAGGTCTAAATATTTACATATTATAATATTAAAATTGCCTTTTATTGGTTATCTAGAGCTTGAACCAAAAAATCCCTCTAGGTGTACATGAAAACAATTATGATTCATGCAGTTTTTTTCTAATCTAAATATAATATCAGTTTTTTTGGCAGTTTGATAAATATTTTATTTATGTGGGCACTACTGAAATCTTAACTTACTCTTGTTTAATCAAATCTGTTGTTTATTTGATTTATGCACTAAATTTAGGTTGTTTCTCACATTCGATATTTCTACATAGCCGACACGCACACTGTCTATATTTTGCATGAGGTATAAGTAGTTCTGCAAAGATAGAGTGGTAATTACAATTTGAATTTGTGGAGTGTAATGAAATTTATAATTATAGTTCTGTATTCTAATAATGGTGCGTAATTCACAATTTGAACAGTTATATATTTAAACGGTTTTTCAGTGTTCAAATATACAGAATCTACAATTTAAAAATACTATATTTAAAAATATTTAAGTCGTTTTTTCAGTCATATGCTATAAATATTCGTAATTCTACTGAAACCAAACATTCCAAGCCACTTCTTAGAGAACACTACTTTCCATAATTTATTCCTAGGGACCAAAATAAAATCATTCTCGTTCGTGTTTTTTAGAACTGTACTAGACTTGGACATATAACACAAATGTTCCCTGTTTCAATGCCAAAGGCAAATGTATAGAAATGTTTAGATATAATTTATTACTTTAGATAACAATTTGAACATAATTGAAAAAAAGAATATTCACAGCTATCGCGCCTCTGATTCTACTTCATTTTTCAGTGTACAAAGGGTGCAGATGGAGCGTGGAGCGAGTGCAATGGCGGCTGCAAATGTGCACCTCTTGGCAACAGCACAGAAGGCCTATGCATAAATATTGGTGACTTTGACTTCCCGTCACCGGAAGCAGAAGTCTGAACCTGAACGCTTTCACCGCTGACCGAAATGGCGCCGTGCTCCCCAAGAGAAAAACAAAGGAACCTTGCATTATATACGTTATACTAATATGATCTGGTATACCTGTAATTACGATTGAAAAATAAAATAAAGCTACAAAAGAGATACTGCACGTGTAAATATTTTTCATTTTTATTTTCGATAACTTTTTTATTTTCGACTTTTTTGTTTTTAACGCTTTGCCATGTATTGCGCTATTAACCCATTCATACACAAGAGGCATATGAGTTGTGGGATTCTATACAGGCTGATTTTCCTTAAGACGGAAAATCTAACATAGGGTACTCTATGTAAACTATATATTCCCGCAAATATGTTATCCACGCTGCAAACTCAAACCCGCACTAAATAGATTCTGTTACCGTATATTCATGGCTGTAACTCAATGTGCGGGCTCTAAGCATCCTAAAAAAATCCATTACACTAGCACTTTATACGAGTTGTGAATGCGAAAGTATCCCTGGCTCGCTGGTGACTGCTGACTCCGCTGGGTGAGGCAGCGGCGGGAGTGCGAAGCGTGGCGCGGCACGTGCTGGAATCACGTGTCCTCTCATCATCATCATCGCCCTATCTGCGTGTACCGGTTGACGACGTTAGACCTGAAAGCTTTACGATAAGTTTTAAGGTAGGCCTAACGTCAGACCAGCGAATACCCGCGTCCCCCCTTCACGCCGCGCCGCCAACAGTTCGACTGGCTCCTTAGCAACGATGAGGCCATTGCTACAGAGCCACATGACGCGTCGCAGCTAATGGGAATTTACGGCCCGTTCCGCTCAGTTGAATTTAGGTGCCGTTTTAAGCTGCTGCATATGTAATTTGGGTTCTGTTTATCGCTAGTATACACAACGATAACGCCGGCTTCACTCAGATAAAGCCGGTTCGGTTGATGGGACAGCTAATGATTTGGCATTAATAAAGAAATACTCATGGGGGGAATATAGATTGATATAAATATTTTTATATACTATAAATGCTGAACTTTTGAATGAATGTTTGGCAAAGATTCGTCGAAAATTCGGCAAATGTTGGCGCACGCGCGAAAACGAGACGGGGCCATGGATTGCAAATGGACGCCAGGCAGTCGTGCGGTTACCATCGTCCAGTGTAGTACAGCCAGCGGTTACGGCGAGGTGTAGAGTAGGCAACAGGGCAACATTGCGTTTTTGAGCCAGTGTGGTTCTCTTCATTTTTTTCTGCCCGACGAAAAGAAGATCGACCAGTAATTCACGCGGTCCACTGCGCAAGTGACAAATAATGCGGTGCATTTTGGATGAAGTGATTTTTATTTCAGCATTCCTGTGATGCAACAAGGTAGTTGAAACATTCGCCGGCAGTGACATTAAAGCACTGTTCGCAATTGTAACAATTCTGTTTTTTGGCTCAGAAGTAATGTGTTTCAAAACAAAATAATATTGATATTTTCAATTAATGTTATTTCGCGATTTTCATGTATCTGCACAGAACTACACACAGAACTATAACGCTCGACGTCGCACATCCGACATTCCTTACTCTCCCTATCTTCCTAAACGTTCGTGTGTGTCCCAATACCAGAAACTGTCATTTCAAACGTTAAAAACGAGACGCTGCGAATATGGAACGCACATTATCATGCAAAGCTTCCGTAAAGTGACTCAAATCGAAAAAAAACATGCATATTTACAATAATATTACTACTTCCTCTGGTGACGGCTCAGCAACCGTTGCATTTATTTTCGCGCAGAAAACGGTGACTCCCAGAGAAAGCAAGAACGCAGCGTTATTTACCTTCATTTTAACCATGTACACACACATGCAGGCTTGCGCTGAGAATGTCTCAAAACCAAAACTCTCGTAGCGTGATTCGTAACTGCGCCACGCTCGCTTCTACCCAACCTCGTTGTAACGCCACATGTGCAAGGAGTCACTAAATTGCCAGTAAACACACAAAAACGACACCGATAAATTAGCTTGTAGAATAACACCTTATTAAGTAATAACTGCGTCAATATTCATTACATATTGCATTTAAGTTAAGAAAAAAAAAACGCTTTTAGCCAGAAAAAACTAAGTATCAACGTTAGGTCTGGTAACAATGTATTTTTGCCGAATCTTTAGAAAAGTTCGGCAAACGTTCCGCTTTGCCGGATCACAAGGTTCGGCGCCGAACTTTTCAATCCTTAAAAGCTCGGCCCATCACTAGTTTTCACCCATGTGACTTACCCAAAGAGTGTCAGCAGCATTTTTACTTCCGAGCTATACGGCGTACTGTCAGCACTTGTATATGCAGGGTGTTCTTTTTTTAGCAGCACTATATTTCTAAATAAAGGGGGAAACATTATAGGAATGCGGCTCTTGCTCAGCAATTATATGACTCGGCGGACATAAGATGCGAATGTACCCATCACCATTATAGTACTAAATAGCTGAAATACGTTAACGAACTCTTTAATTACTGTACGTTTTTATGTTTGTATCCTAAACTTTCAAGCGGTCCCGAAGGAAAAATCCATCAATGTAACCCTGTTTGGCAGTCAATGTTTTCTAGTGGACCGCTGACTGTGCCTGACTGTACGTCAAGCATGTCTGATTGGCCAACAAGTTACTCTGACCGACAGTCAAACTCGAGTCAGACTCCACTTGTCGCCTTTCTGATGGTTTCCTGGTGGCAGTCGGCCGCCGCGAAATGCCATCAAGATGCCTTGGTGGCGATTCTGATTGTACATCGATTGTCTCTGACTGTACGTCAAAAAGCTTTGACGTGCAGATAGACGTACGGTTAAAGGACGTAAAGTTCGTTCGGATACCACTATTTCGTCAAGTCTATGAATACGAAAAATAATCTATGCACAAGAAAACGATTTCGGGACGTGAGCCCATAAAACCGCTGATGTTAGAGATATGACACGCAGCCGACGGACAACCTTTATCAGAAGCCCGCCGAAACACCGAACACGCCACTTCGCTTCGCCCATAGAGGCTTCGCCGAGCTTTCATGAACGATCGCTCTCGACTCGTTTTGTTTGCCCGCTTGCTCCAACCTGTCGATCCTGCCCGGGCTCTACAATGTCTTATGTTTTAGTAGAATTTCTACTTGACAAGACCCAGCCTGTTTTGAGTTCCGACGATGTAAGGGACTTTACCGGTGTAGCTGAAGACGAAAAAGTGTACCAGGTCTACTGGGCCGGAGACGCGCGAACAAAAGGATCGTTCTACGACGCGAAAGTACTCTACATGGCAGGTGAGTAGAACTGCTGAAGGCTCAACTGCATTTGCAGCCGAAGCATCTCGTATAAAACGAATCGTCGAATAGAGTTTCCAAAGCGATGGCATAGCATAGGGGTTAAGGTGTCCGATTTGTACGCAAGTGGTCGCGGGTTCCATCCGCGGTGGTTCTGCTTTTCTTTTCTTCTCGAACATTTTGTTTTATTGAGGCATTTGACGATATTTATGAGTGCGTATAGCTTTACTCTTATATAAATGCTGCCCTTGTTGATGAAATTCCCTTGGCAGTGGCAGTCAGACGTCATCTGATGGACCATCAAATGTCGTCTGATGGTCCATCACGTTCTACCAAGGCTGCTGACTGGCAGTCAGTGTCCCAAATTACGTATGTCGATGGAATTTTCAATAGGGGTCATATGCCAAGATCGCTCTATTTTGTGGAATTAACGAACCAGCCCGATTTCCAACATATTTCTCCCCAAAATTTGCTTCTTTATTCGGTTAATGAAGTAAAGTATGTCTATAGCGCCCTTCTTCACGGGTTTGCCGGTATGGGCGGAAACAAAAAAGCAAACAAAAAAAACTCAGATTAAGTTGAAAATTTGGCAGCAGAGATCTCGGAACACTGGCTGGTTACGCGAATTTTCCAAAATGAAACAATCATAGCATACGACCGCCTCAAATTTGTAATATAAACATATATTCATATTGCAGTAAATGAAATTAATTTAATGATTTTTACTTAGAGTCGGAAAATAGTGATGGTTATAGTCCCGTATACTGTCCGCCGTGTCATATAAATACGCAGTAAAAACCGCATTCATATAACTTTCCCTTTTATTAAAAAAAACATTGGTGCGACTAGAGGAAAAAAAAACACCCGTATAATGCAGAGCAAAGCGATGAAAGCTACTATTTCTGTAGACTTGCAGAGTGTTATTTCTGCAGCATGTTAAGTTATACTAACCAAGAATAAGCTCACCCGACTTGTAAAGACCAAATTTGAACAATGGTTTTTGGGTGTAAACGGCATTTGTATTTTTTTTTTTTCTGGGGGGATATTGAGTCATATTAGTCATCATATTCCTGTGATGCAACGAGGTAGTTGAAACATTGGCCGGCAGTTACATTAAAGCACTGTTCGCAATTGCAACAATTCTGTTTTTTGGCTCAGAAGTAATGTGTTTCAAAACAAAATAATATGGATATTTACAATTAATGTTAGTTCGCGATTTTCATGTATCTGCATAGAACTAAACACAGAACTGTAACGCTCGACGTCGCACATCCGACATTCCTAACTCTCCCTATCTTCATAAACAATAGCAGAAACTGTCATTTGATACCTTAAAACGAGACGCTGCGAATATGGAACGCACATTATCATGCAAAGCTTACGTAAAGTGACTCAAATCGAAAAAAACATGCATATTTACAATAATATTACTACTTCTTCTGGTGAAGGCTCAGCAACCGTTGCATTTATTTTCGCGCAGAAAACGATGACTCCCAGAGAAAGCAAGAACGCAGCGTTATTTACCTTCATTTTAACCATACACACACACATGCAGGCTTGCGCTGATAATGTCTCAAAACCAAAACTCTCGTAGCGTGATTCGTGACTGCGCCACGCTCGCTTCTACCCAACCTCGTTGTCGCGCGTTTCATCTGTAAGGAGTCACTAAAATTGGCAGTAAGCGCTCAAAAACGACACCGAGACAATTATCTTGTAGAATAACACCTTATTAAGTAATAAC